GTCACATGCATCTTCCAGGAAGAGTCCTTAAAGGGACTCTTCTCCCAGCTTTCTGCTTCCCATTGGCTGGAATGCAGATGGGAGGGCTGGAGCTTGAGCAGCCATCCTAGCTCAAGAGATCAAAGTTCCTGTGCTGAGAAAGGCGGAGCAGCAGGAGCCTTGGTTCCTGACACTGCCCAGGAGTGCATCCCTCAGAGATTAATTTCTATCTAATTCAAGCCTCTAGCACTTGGGGTCTTCCGTCCCTGTGCAGCCAATCCTACTGTCTGATATGTGAAGTGCATTGTTACACGACTCCCTCTGTTCTTTGCCTATGTTGAGTGAGTCCTCACGCCTGATCAACAGCCCCAGCCAGCTGTGTGACCACAGACTAGTTGCTTTGCCTCTTGGGAACTCAGCCGCTCCAATCCTAAAACGAGAGGATTGGCTCCCCCCAGACTGCCTGGAGTTAGGAGAAGGGGGTGTTCTACACACCGGAATGGCCAACCTAGGAGAAAGGTAGGATGGGAAGAGCAGTAAGATTTGAATAAACGAGGACCGGCATTCAGGAGGGAGAGGAGGTGGGTCCTTCTGGGTTCTTCTGTTGCACGGGATGGAAAACGGCACCGGCAGACCCCGTGGAGGGAAAGCAGGTTTGTCGGCTCTTGGAAGGGGACGTCCAGGAGATCCCACTTCCTAGCTGGGTTCAGGGTGCCCTAATCTGACTCACGAATTCCTCGTCTGTCCTAGTCTGTTCATTTCATCCTCCCACGTGTGGACCCATTTTCAGTATGAGGAATCTTTTTGCTTACGAGTGACAGAAACCCCTTCGGAAGCAACCAGAAAGCAACGAGTGGCTTCTGGCGCTAGTCGTAGTGTGAGCTCGAGGCACGGCTGCATGCAAGGGTTTTAGTTCTTCCTGCAGGCTTCCGTCCCTGCTTTCTTGTTGAGGTGGGGTGTTTAGGTTTGAAGCCAAGGCCAAGAAGGAGTTCTTGAGACGTCATTGGTGCAAAAAGGTGGTTTTATTAAAGCCCTGGGACAGGACCCCAGGGCAGAAAGAGCCGCCTTGGGGCCATGAGGAGGGACCCATTATATATTTTCAAGTTGGGAAGGGGTCAGGGATAGTGTAAGCCTCCCAGGGATTTTGGAAACGAGGCTCCGGGATCCTGAGGGTGTAGCTATTATGGGAAGGGTCGTTTCTTACCGTTTCGTAAATCCTGAGTCCCGAAACCCTTCAAATGTACATCGGCGGGTGTTGGGGGTGCTTGCCAACCTGTGTCTTGGGGGGTAGAGATAAAAGAAGTTTCCAAAGGAATTTTTGTATGTTAGAGTAGGCTTATAGGGTCCTGGGGGTTGGGCTAGGATTGACTTTTGCCCTTGGCCAAGTGTCAACATCAAGGCCGTTGAGTCCCTAGAGGAATGTCACTCTGCCTCTTTCAAGGACTTGTCAAGGGGCTATAGGTAGTAAGGAAATGTAATCATTTTTCTTCTGCCTTTGTTTCCCACATCACTGGGCCTGGCCTCCTTCCCAGGCAGGCTGATGGGCTCAGTCACCCAGACCCAGTCCACATCCCTCACACAGACACTAGAGAGCTGGTGTCTCCAGCGAGTCATCTTTCGGGGCGTGGAAGCAAGCTCTGGCTCTGAGAAAGGTGGGGGCACCCGAGAAGGCCCCATAAAAGTGGTGCCGTTTGCGGTGCGCACGGGCGCTGGAGATGCCAGCTGGACAAGGTGGGAGGGTGTTCCCGGCAGAAGGGACAGCCAGCCCTAAAGCACGCAAATTCCTGCAGCAAAGAGTTGCCAGACCGTTGCATGCTTTGTGGGAGCAGAAGGAGACGAGGCCGGAGAAGCCGGCTGTCAGCCGAACCGGAAGAGCTCGGGGTGCCGGACCGAGCGTTTCAGGCTGCAGGGAGCTATGGAAGGATTTAGTGCTGGGGAGGGCCGTGGTCACATTTTCACCCTTAGCCACGCAGGGGAAGGTGAGTGGTCACAGGGAGAAAAAGCGGAGGCAGCTGGGGAAGCAGGGAGGGCCTTCTGGGTTCCCAGCCTGCACCAGGCAGGTGGCCTGGGGCGTCGGAGAATTTCTGGAGTCAAGTCGACAGGGTAGAAGTCTGGAGGCTGAGGAGCCCGGGACTGGGTCCTCCTGGAGTCCTGTCTGATGGTGTGGCTACCAGCTGGCTTCAGGCTGGTAGAAGGAAGGGACTAGTCCCCCCACTCCTGGGAGGAGGAGGAGAAACGGGGGTTGCCACCTCTGGGATCTGCAATACCCATTTAGTCTTTGAGATTCCCAGTGGGCAAAATGATGATATTCATTAGATTTTTATGTAATGAATTTACAAGGAATCATAGATATTCTATTGCTTAAGTTATTATTTTTTTAAGATTTTATTTATTTATTTGACAGATCACACGTAGGCAGAGAGAGAGGAGGAAGCAGGCTCCCCGCTGAGCAGAGAGCCCGATGCGGGGCTCGATCCCAGGACCCTGAGATCATGACCCGAACCGAAGGCAGAGGCTTAACCTGCTGAGCCACTCAGGCGCCCCACAAAGGGCCAATTCTTGAATGCTTTCAAGAGTGGGAAGTTCACCCCTTCTGTAGCTCTGACCCAAAGACACCAAGGACACAAACCTATCTCCCCAGAGGCAGGAACAACTCAGGGCCCCGTGCCCATATGCTGAGGGGGGGGCGGCCCCCAGCACTCCAGGTTAACCCTTGGAGATTTGGGAACCTGGAGCTGTCCGCTGACGTCCATCGCTTTCCATGCTGCAAACCTGTGATTCCTCTGATTCCTCCTTCTCGGGTAGGGCCTTCCAGAGCGTGGGACAAGGATCCCTGGGGTCCTGGGGAAAACTTAGGTATGACTCAGACACTAAGCATGAGTTCACAGGGGGGCAAAACAGCCCCTTTCAACCCTCTCCCTGTCTCCCTGACTGCATCAAGGAGGAAGTCTCTCCGGGTGCTAGGGCCTCCCAGGGGGTTACACATAGGCTCCTGTCCTTGCTGAGCAGAGCAGCAAGGGACCTCTGTCTGCAGCCTCTGGTCTGAAGCTACCGGTGTTACTGGGTTTCCTGTGGCCACTTTGATGTTTCTATTTCAGGCAAGTGATGATGGTTTGCCATATATGGTGGCCCCTGACCCAACTGAATGCTGGCTGCAGTGTCCCCCAGCCCTGGGTCCACAGCAGGGCCCATAGCTGGGAGGTGTGGCCAAACTGGGACTCTCCCACAGCCCAGCCCGGGGAGCCCTGCTTAGTCGAAATATGCTGGGACATCCTCCCAGTTGACATCAGCCCTTACGGTGAATTCCACCACATCAAAGGAAAAAGGTCTTCTTCCACTGCCCTCGATGGGGATAATCGGAGCTGTTGGGAGGGTCCCCTTTTGGAACTTTCCCTGTGGGCTTATTCTCTCCAGTATAACGGGAGAGGAGAGGAGAGAGAGGAGGGGACGTGCCCTTTGGGGTGAGTCATACAGTGGTGTTGATGGTGGGTTTCAGCAACTGTGGATTCTAGAAACTCAACACATACAATTTCCTAGTTTTTGTTCTAGAATGTTCCATAATAGGGATGTTTTGCAATTCTGTAACTGGGCCTCTGTCCTGAGAAGTCACATGATGCCTTGGAGCCAGACACTTAGCCTTTTGGGCTGACAGAAGATTGAACAGGACTCGGGCTCCCTGGGCGTCCTGGGCCTTCACCCGCCTCCTGACAAGAGCCGGCCTTGTCCAACGGACTCGGCCGGCAGAAGCGGAGCGATTACTGGGCTGCGTGCCCTGGGGCCTGTCCGGCGCCCAACAAATAAATGCTCATCAAACCGTCGTCTGAGGTCGAAGCCCGCGCCGCCGGCCCTAGAACCCCGGGCACAGCGGGGCTGACCCCGGGCAGGCTCCAGCAGGAGGCCTCCGGTTCCTCAGGTCCCCCTAATGTTGCCGGTGACCCTAACAAACCTATGACCAGTGACATTCTTGGGCAATCACTCCGCGCCAGACGCCAGCACCAACAACCGTCTTGGCAGAGGAGGTGGATGAGAAGGGCGTATCGAAGTCCGAAGGGTCCGAGGCATAGTGTGGGCTCTGCGGCTTGCTTATCGCCCCAGACGGGCAGCTCACTCTCCCCATTCCCCGCCCTGTGCGTGGCACCCGCTCGGCGCTCCAAGGCCAAGGTGGGCGGGGGGCTCCAAGGTGGGCGGGGTACGCGCCCCGCAGCACGGTGCCCCGGAGCTGCGTGGAGCGGGCGACTGCCCCGGGCCCCCGCCCGGGAGGGGGCGGGCGGCGCCGGGGGCCTCAGGGGCGGGGCGGGGAGGGGAGGGGCCGGCGGTGGCGGCGGCGGCGGCGGCGGCGGCGGCGGCGGCAGCGCGCGGAGCAGACCGCAGTGCGGCCGGCGCTAGGACCTGCGGGGGCCTCCCGGGCCGCGGCGCCTCCCGCTCCCCCGCTCCCCCGCTCCCCCAGCCCTCCTCCCCCCACCCCAAAATGAGGAAACGGAGCAACTTGTTCCAAGTTGTGCAGCCAGGGCTGCCTCGGGGTGCGCAGCCAGCGCGTGGGGGCCCTCCTGGGTGTGGGCGCGGGGCGCGGCCCGGGGGCGCCCCCTGAACAGGTGAGCGCGGTGGCTGGGGGGTGGAGGAGAGGTGGGGGTGAGGGGAGAGACTGCGGGGCAGTGGCGGGGTGTCGGGGGGAACCCCGAGGGCTCCGGGGGCGTCCCGGGCGTCCGGTGGAGAGGCGGGTGTGAGCGCGAGAGTGCGCGTCCGGCGGCGTGCGCGGCGGGTACGCGGCTGGGGTAGCGGGTGGTTAGAAGCGACCGGGCGCAGGGTGGGGGTGTTTTTCTGGGCGCGAGTGTGCGCGTCTGCGAGCTCCCGGCTGTGTGTATGCGCGCGTCCACGTGGAGGGATGTTCGCGTGTGGCCGAGATGCTTGTGCGCGGCCCTGCGTGTAGCTCTGCGTGCCGGGGTGGCCCAGTGTCTGGCGCCCCACGGCCGGCGCCCAGGTGTTCAAGTGTGGGTCTGTGTGTGCGCTGGGGGTGGGGGGGGGTGGGACAGGTACACACATTTCTGGATGTCTGAGAGTCTGCCCGTGTGTATACATGTGTAGAAGTGTACACACCTGTCTCTAGGTGAACGTGCTTTTGCTTGCATACCCGCGTGCCTGTGGGTACCTGTGTCCACCAGTGTCCAAGCCCCATGTGTTTCTGTGTGTGCTCGTGTGTACATGGATCAGTATGCGTGTGAGTGCACATGGGGCTGGGGGTTTATGGGGGTAATACTGGAGGTCAGAGGCTTGTCCCCCTCGACCATCCCCACTGCCCAGCCACCTGCTGTAGGGTCCAAGGAGGAGGAAGGGGGTGGACAAGGCCCTTCCCCAGCAGCAGTGAGAGGCCGCTTGTCTGTCCTAGGTTGGTGTTGGGACTGGGGGCATCAGAGAGGCTCTGCGGATGGCCAGAGGAGCCCAGTAGGGCTGCATGCCCCCTCCCCCACCCCCTCCCGGCCCCACCCTAGGTCCAGAGATACTTGGGAATGACCTTGAATCACCTTCTGTTTCCTCGCCCTGCCCCTGCCCACTTATCAGAAAAGAGGAAGAGCCAAGCTCAATTAGGTGGCACCACGGTCCCCACCCACTGTGTGGCCACTGGGGCCTGAGCCAGCAGACACTTCTCCCCTCCCCACCCTATGGCCACTCACTCTGGGCCCACCTTGTGGCCCCGTTGCCCTTTCGGGACAATGGCGGGGCCGGACTCTATGGTTTCCTTGCTGATGTTCCATGGCCGTGACTGATAAGGAGCTCCTGTGGGTAAAGACCACCTCCCCAGAGAGGCTTTGGGGAGCCACCACCTGGAGCCCCCGATGGGGATGCCCTCCCGCCCTTGCCTCCCCCTGGCCTGGGCAGGAAGTGGTTAGTTAGTAATGGCCTTGGGCCCCAGTCTGCCTCAGATCGGGACTCCAGCTGCTCTCTGCCTGCCCCCAAGTGAGCCCCCGCTTCCTCCGTGCCTGGCATCCCGCGTTCATCTCAGCCAGGATGCCAACGGTGAGTACACCCAACCCAGGCGCTGGGGTCCTGGGCCATCCTCTACCCGGCCCACACCCGTGGGACCTCAGCCCCATGTCGGGGGGCTGTCCTCTGGGACTCAGGCCCCTTCAGCCAGTGCTGCACACTTTTTCACTGTCACCTGATGCTACATTTCTGTCACCTTTTCTTCCTGACCTTCTGGTTTGGGCCCCGGAGTTTTTGAGTGAGATTTCTGTCCTGGCTGCTCCCTCTGGATTCCGTCTCTGCCCTGCTGTCTTTTGCCCAGTTTCTACTTCTTTCTCTCCCTGGGCCTCTCCTTCATGCCCCTTTGCCCCTCCCCCACCTCTTTCCCCACCTCTCAGAGGCGCTGGGCCCCAGGCACCCAATGCATCACCAAGTGTGAGCACACGCGCCCCAAGCCGGGAGAGCTGGCCTTCCACAAGGGTGACGTGGTCACCATCCTGGAGGCCTGCGAGGTGAGTGGTGGCTGGAGGGCCTGGGCGCGGGCGGTGAGGTGGTCTCTGCCGGGACCGGCCCCCCCCATGCCCCCGGCCCCGACTCCTGGCTCCCTCCCTGCAGAGCAAGAGCTGGTACCGCGCCAAGCACCATGCCAGCGGGCAGGAGGGCCTGCTGGCGGCCGGGGCGCTGCGGGAACGAGAGGCCCTGTCGGCGGACCCCAAGCTCAGCCTCATGCCGTGAGTCTGGGGACGGCCCGGGGTGGGTCTGGGGACCGCCCGGGATGGGCGGCAGGGGGTCCGGGGCCGCCTGGCCCTAGCGCGCCCTTCCGCCCGGCCGCAGGTGGTTCCACGGGAAGATCTCGGGCCACGAGGCCGTGCAGCAGCTGCAGCCGCCCGAGGACGGGCTGTTCCTGGTGCGCGAGTCGGCGCGGCACCCCGGCGACTACGTGCTGTGCGTCAGCTTCGGCCGCGACGTCATCCACTACCGCGTGCTGCACCGCGACGGTCACCTGACCATCGACGAGGCCGTGTGCTTCTGCAACCTCATGGACATGGTGGAGGTGTGGCCGCCTCAGGCCCCGCCCCCTTCCAGCCCCGGGACCCCGCCCCCTCGCCCGGCCCCAGAGCCGCAGGGTCTGCGCGCTGGAGGCGGAGGGACCGCCCCTGGACCCCGCACCCGGCACCCCCCTCCGCCCGATTCCGGCAACTGCTGGGCCCGGGACACCCAAAGCTGCCTGCTCAGTCCTAGTGCGGGAAAGAGCGGCTGTTCCCCGCACACCACCAGCCCTGCAGCTGGTCTGGGTCTCCGGGTCCACCTCTTGGGAGGGACTGGGGTGTTTCCTCTGGGCACCCCTAGGAACCTCCCTGTCGACACTAATCCACAGACCACCGCCCCACCTTCCCCAGGATCCTCCTGTTTCCTAGCTTGGATCCTTTCCGTTCCCATGGAAACCAGTCCAACTCCCTGGGTGGGAAACGCTCCTGCCCGCCCCACTCAGAGAGTCCCCGCTGGGGAGGGCACAGAAGGCAGGGGTTCCCTGCCAACCCCCTCCCCGTCCCCCCCTCCCCGTGGAGGGGGCCAGGCTCACCGCTGCCTCTGCCCCAACCCCACCCCGCAGCACTACAGCAAGGACAAGGGGGCCATCTGCACGAAGCTAGTGAAACCCAAGAGGAAGCAGGGCACCAAGTCGGCAGAGGAGGAGCTGGCCAAAGGTAGGGCCCTCCCCCTCCCCAGGGGGCCCACGGCCAAGGCCACAGCTGCATGAGCATGTGGCTGTGCCGGCACTGTGAGTGAAAGACCTGGGGCAGCCCTCAGGTCAGGCAGGGGCACCCACAGACGCCCACCAGCCCACAAGGAGTGAATTCCCATCCCTGCTGCTGCTTCCGTGTCCCCATCATCTGCCCTGTCGCCTGGGGCAAAAGCCTGAACCCCAGCCCCAGCCTGGCCTCAGACCGTCCCACCAGGCCACCTCTTCCATGGGACCCCTGCCTCTGGGCCCCCAGAAGTGACTTTCTACCATGAAAATCCACCCACATCGCTCTCCTGCCTTCCAGAACCTTCCCTTGTGGCTGAGGGATCTTTCTCCGTTCATCTACAAACCCTTCCTCTTTTGCTTGCCTCCTGGTTTTCCTCTCTGGCTTCTCTGCTATCGTGCTTTCTGTTCCCTCCACCTGAAGTGCTCCCCTACCCCCCAATAACGAGATCTTCGATGCTCAAGGCCCTGAGCGAATGCCCCCTCCCACGGCCACTCCTCCCGAACCTGATGATGGTGTCTGTCTCTCCCAGGGAAATCTGGATGATTCGGGGATGGCCCCAAGGGGAGGCTGGTGTCCCTGTCCTTGATCATGACTAAGGGCTTGTGATTTGGAGGGGAGGCTTTGGGGAGGAAGGGGAAGGGGACTAAAGAACCTACTAGAGGAGAGAGGACGGGAGAACACAGGCATGTTTGAGACAGGGAGTCAGGGAGGCTGGACCCCAGATGGCCCTTTAGAGCGCTGGAAGATTCTAGAAGATTCTGGAAACGTTGCCAGAAGATTCCAGAAACTTTACTGGTCTCCGTGTCTCTTGTATTTTTTGGTGTGTATCCTGGGTGGCCAGAGGTACAGGACTTTAAAGGGAAGAGCCTCTGGATATTTGGAGGGACACGGTGTTCAGGTAGAAGTGAGAAGGGCAGCCCTAAAGGGTTTGTCAACATCACCCCCTGGACCTGATGGGGTATTCCTGGAGAGCAAGCCTGGGGTCCACCCCCCCATAACCCCTTTCCTCAGGTCATCCTGGGGTAGACAGGCTCTGCTGCTTTCCAGCACTTGATAACAGGGCTGGGAGTTGGGGGGGTTCTCAGGCCATTGCTGGGAGCAGCTGTATGTGTGCCCCAGCTGGGACGCAGCGGGGGACACCACCTGGCTTCTCGCCAGGTGGGGCCCATTCCCCTGTGACCCCGTCCCCACCCCACAGCTGGCTGGTTACTGAACCTACAGCATTTGACGCTAGGCGCACGGATTGGAGAGGGTGAGTTTGGAGGTGAGTGGAGGCCTGGGTCAGAGGCTGAAGGGGGGAGGGGGGCGTGTTCAGGTTTAGGAATCACTGGGGGGTGAAGTAATTCATCCCCAAGTTAGCATCTGCTCTGTGAGGGGCTGACGTCAGCTCGGGGAGGCGCTCGGCCTTCACACCTCCAGGCTTTGTGCTTGGAATGCCCCTCCTGGGAGCTGTTCCCCTGGAAGGCTCTGGGGCTTACTGAGGTCAGGGGTCAGCTTCCCTTCTCTGTAAAGGGCCTGAGTGCACCTATTCCAGGCGTTTCGGGCCAGACAGTCTGAGTCCATGTTCAGCTCCGCCTTTGTGGCAGGAAAGCAGCCGCAGACACAGGTAAATGAATGGGCAGGGCCGTGTACCAATAAAACTTTATTTACGGCCGCTGACATGGGAGCGCCTTGTAATTTTCCTTTGTTGCAAAGTAGTATTCTTCTTTTGATTTTTCCCCCAAATATTTAAAACTCTAAAAACCACCAGAACTTAGGGGCCTTAGCCGACTGAGCCACCCAGGCGTCCCTGAACTTGGGGGCCTGGCAGAAGGGGGGTGCCCTCTGAAAATTTGGCCCCCGAGCGGCAAATGCTTCGTGCTTGTCTCGGATCAGCTTGTAGGCATGAAGAGTTTCGGGGCCTGGGGCCCCGCAGCGGTGTTGGGGTGCGTGGGGGTCGGGGTAGGTGGGCATTCCTATACCCGTTCTCCCCACAGCGGTCCTGCAGGGTGAGTACCTGGGCCAGAAGGTGGCCGTGAAGAATATCAAGTGTGATGTGACCGCCCAGGCCTTCCTGGACGAGACGGCGGTGATGACGTGAGTTGGGGGCGGGGCGGGGGCGGGGCGTCGTGGGGGCGGGGTCTTGGCCGAGCCCTCACGCCCACCTGCCGGCCCCCCCAGGAAGATGCAGCATAAGAACCTGGTGCGTCTGCTGGGCGTTATCCTGCACCAGGGGCTCTACATCGTCATGGAGCACGTGAGCAAGGTGGGGGTGAGGTCTGAGGTGCCCTCGGGGCCTGGGGGGCGCCGCCGAGCAGCCTCGAGCCCCCCAGGCCCATCTCCCTCCCCCGCAGGGCAACCTGGTGAACTTTCTGCGCACACGGGGCCGGGCCCTCGTGAGCACCCCCCAGCTCCTCCAGTTTTCCTTGTGAGTGGGGCTCCCGGGGCAGGGTGGGGTGGGGGGCCTCCAGGGTCAAGGGGACACTGAGGCTCGGAGCCACCCCCGCCTCGGGCTCCGCCCCCTCCCCAGGCACGTGGCCGAGGGCATGGAGTACCTGGAGAGCAAGAAGCTGGTGCACCGAGACCTTGCCGCCCGCAACATCCTCATTTCCGAGGACCTGGTGGCCAAGGTCAGCGACTTTGGCCTGGCCAAAGCTGAGCGGAAGGGGCTGGACGCAAGCCGGCTGCCCGTCAAGTGGACGGCGCCAGAGGCTCTCAAACACGGGGTGAGCCCCCCACCGCCCCTGGGACCCTCAAAGCCCTGGTCCCACCTGCTCTGTGACCCTGGGCACAGCTCTCATTTTCTCTGGACCTCTCTTAAGGGGATGGCTCTACCGCCCCAGTGAGCACTTGACCCACGGTTGTCCCCTTTTAGCTTGCGTTTGGCCTCTCCCTTGTGTGAACCTCTCTGGGCCCGGGTTTCCCCATTTCTGAAACAGGCTCTGTCCCGGGCCGGAGAATACCAAGGACCCTTCCCTGCACTGGGTCTGAGTCCCCCTTGGCTGGGGGAGGCTCAGAGGGAGTGGTCTGTTGGGAGGAGACCAGAGAGTGAAGGTGAGCCCAGGAGGACTTCCTAGAGGAAGCTGGGGCCCCTCCTCACTCTGATCCTGGGCCCCATAGAAGTTCTCCAGCAAGTCGGATGTGTGGAGTTTTGGGGTGCTTCTGTGGGAGGTGTTCTCATACGGCCGGGCTCCATACCCCAAGATGGTGAGTGGGGCCTGGGGGGAGGCTCTGGGCTCCCTGCGGGTCTGACGACTGTGGCCCTGACCCCAGCCACGCCGTTGTGCCCTCTGCCCACAGTCGCTGAAGGAGGTGTCCGAGGCCGTGGAGAAGGGGTACCGCATGGAGCCCCCTGAGGGCTGCCCGGGCCCCATCCATGCCATCATGGGCAGCTGCTGGGAGGCTGAGCCCGCCCGCCGGCCGCCCTTCCGGAAATTGGCAGAGAAGCTGGCCCGGGAACTGCGCAGCGCAGGCGCCTCGGCCCCGGTGGGGGGCCAGGACGCGGACAGTTGTCCCTTGCCCCGAGGCCAGGAGCCCTGACCCTGCCCATTGGGGCCTCAGGCCCCAGAGGAGAGAGTGAAGGGCACGGGGTGGGGGTACGGCCAGGCCTGAAGAGGGCGAGCGGCCCGTCTGGCTCGCAGCAGGGGCAGGTGCCTGCAGGGGACTCTAGGCAGCCCGTGGGCACCGCGGACCGGGGAGGCGAGGGGTCAGCCCTCCATAAAGACTGCTTTCCAAGGCCGGCCGGTGTCGGAGTCTCTCTGCGGCCCTTGGCGTCCTGCACCCCATGGGACCCCCCCCGCCACCATCGCTCAGCCCGGGGCCATCCGCCTGCCCGGTGTCTACCCACTGAGGGCCCTGCCCAGCTGGGATCTTGCAGCCACCGAAGGGACACAGGTCCCCCAGGCCCGTATTACGGCCACCCCCGCGGACCTACTTAGGACCATGATTCCCACTGGGGTACCCCAACGGCCACCGTATTGGGGTGATGCTTCTGCCGCCTCTGCCCCAGCCCTTGCCCCTCAGGGTAGGCAAGAGGGAGCCAGGGAGGGTCTGCCCCTGTGGTGCTTCCAGACCAGTGACTCCGGGGGAGACTGGCTGCCAAGTGTGGCCCTGCCCCTCTTGTCCACACACCACACAGAATTTGGGACTTGGGCTTGGACCCCCAGGTTCTGAGCTTTGTGGCCCTGACCTGTGGTGACCAACCATCCGACCTGAGAGCATTTCCAGGATGAGAGGGACGTTAGTGCTACACGTTAGTGCATCTGGTGAGCGGGGGAAGGGGTCCCCCAGCCTGGGCTCCAGCAGCCCCTCTATGAGCAGGCATCTTTTCGGGGTAGCAGTGGGGATCTGAAGGCTCACACCAGCCCAGGGGTCTGTGCACACAGGCTCAGTTACTGCTGTGACCGACCGTCCCCCCCCAGCTCAACTGGTGTTTCCATCCAGCCAAGCTTCTAGGATGCCTGGAGGGGTCTCTGGCCAGGCTGGGATGGTCCTCACCCCAGGAATCCCAGGACTGGGGAGGGATCGCCAGACCACGGCACACCCTCCGCCTTTGGCTGGCCCACCTCCAGCTGAGGCTCGGGGACTTTCACAAGGTCACACTGAATGCCTGTGATGCCCCCCAGAAACCCTGCCCATCCTCTGGCCTCAGTTTCCCCCCCAGCACATGAAGGGGCTTCAGGATTCTTCCTGGGGGAGAAACAAGGAAGGGAGGCCAGTGGGTCTGAGCGTGGCCTGACCCCCACCCAATCCAGCTGGAGGGGTCGCGTGGCCCTGCCCCACCCCGCCCCTAATCCTGTCCTCTAAGCTGACACAGCGTCTGCACTTGCAGCCCAGTCCGCTAAGCCACCAAAGCCCCAGCGCCTAAGGCCCAGATCCCTCTTGCAGCCTCTTAACCCACCCGGGGCCAATTAGCTAATTGGGGCCTGAGAACATAGCAGCTCGTTAGTAATGAAGCAATTATGGACTTAGGGACCCCCCCCCGCCGCACCCGCCCTCTACTGCAGGCCTCGTGCTCCCCCCGCTCCAGAGCCTGGAGCCCACATCAGGGCTCCAGACAGGGCAGCTGGGCTCACGGGGCCCCGGGGAGCCTTGGGAAGCACCAGCCACCCCTCCTGCCTGGGCTGACGATGGCTGGGGCCCCCTGCCCGGCTTCCCCCACTGCTGGGTGCTGAGGCCCGACCCCTGTTCCTGGCCCTCAGCAGGAGCTACAGCTGGTTCCTCATCCAAGGCCATTAGTGCGTGCAGGTGGACCCACTCCTCCGGGGCCTGGCACCCCGTTCACGGGGGTGCCCACAAGCCTGTCTCTCCTTCCTGCGCCCCTCTCCCTACAGAGCCAACATCCGGGCAGGGGCCGTCTTCCTCGCACTTACTTCCTGGTCCGTACACGGGCCTGGGCCTCCTGCCTCCCTCCGCAGAGACGGTCTCCCTCCCGTCCTGCGTGTCTCTGAATCCATCAGACACTTTCTTGGCCTCACCTTAACCCCCCAACCCCAGATTCCCCTCCTCTTGGGCACTAGGCTCTTTGGGTGGGTGGGGGCCGGGGTGGGCAAACCAGCCTCAGGGCCTTCCCCTGGGACCTGCTCTGGCTCTTGGGCCACTGCCTCTGGGACAATCTTGTCATCCCCCTGTCCCCAAAATGGGGGTCTGGGTATCACCAGTTCCTCCCTGTTCCCCAACTTTCTCCCGGAGGATTGTTCCTCTGCCCCCCTCTCCCCACCATGTCCGTCCCCAGAGCCCTTGCCCTGATCGGGCCTCTAGCCGCCTCCCAGCCTCCCATCTTGCTCACAATAGATGCGTCCATCTGAATGCCTCCCGCCCTGCTCCACAACGTTCCGGGGTTCCCTGGTGACCTCCCCTTCATGCAGAGCTGTGTCTCGCATCTCAGCCTTGACCTCCACCCCCCATTCTGCTGACTTTCTCTAAAAGAGCAACCCCCCTCTCTGTTCCCCCTCCCTCCCCTGCTGGGGTTTTCTCACTGGCCTTGGGAGCACCTGACATGCTCTGTCTTCTTTTCGGATTGTCTGTCTCCCCTACTGGCATGTCAGCTCCAAGATGTGTTCTGTTCACTGCTATGAACAGTACCCAGGATACAGTAAGTGCTCAGTAGCATTCACTGAATGAATGAAGAGTGAACTTCTATTCATTCCTCAAAACCCAGCGAAAATGACCCCTACTCCCTGGTCAGCTCGGCGTCTCGGGGAGCCAACTGGAATGGCCTTCCCCTGTCAGGACCTTGGCTTCCCCCACCCCTGTCACCACCTGTGTGTCTGGGAGGAAATTCCTGTGGCCCCAGCTGATAAAAATAGTAGTGGACTCTGAGCACCTGCTGTGTGCCAGTCGCTGTGCAATGCTCTCTACTTGGCGTCCCTCCTCGCCCCAGGAGAGCCCCATCAGGGAAGTCCTGATGTCACCCTTCTACAGCTAGGGAAACTGAGGCCCCGAGAAAGGGAGGCCCTTGCTGGTGTCCTGTGAGGGGAAGCGGACCCAGGCCCGGGGTCACCCCACACACACACACCAGCCTTCCTCCCCCAAGCCCGCCCTCTGCAGCTCAGAGCAGCCAGTGCCTGGGCGGGAGGGGCCGCCTCAATTAATCACCTCGCGCTAATCTTCTCCTCACTGGACCCCAGCCCGCTCCCCGCCCCATCGGGCAGGGCCAGGCCAGCAGCAGACGGGGTGCTGGGCCTGCTGGGGCCGGAGCTGCGTGGATACTGGGGCCGTTGCGGGGCTGCTGGGGGCGGTGAGTACAGGGCAGGTGGGCGCAGTGGCAGCTGGAGGTCCAGAGAGGCCCCCACCCCAGGACGGAGGACTGTGGGGGCAGCCTCCCAGCCTCCTGCCTTCCTGGGGGTCCCAGGCACACGGAGGGACGGACAGACAGACCGACCAAAGCTGAGCTGTAGGTTGATGGAGGCCGTCAGGGAGGGCTCGAGTGGGGAAGTGGGACTAGAGGTGGAAGGACGGACACACAGAGAGGAGACGGACGGACAGCAAGAGCATCCCGAGGGCCAGGGGGGCGGGGAGGCGGAAGGAAGGTGCATCTGACCCCAGGCCCGGCGGATGCCGGGGGCTCCCCTGCCCTCCCTGGCTGGCAGTCCCTGCTGCTGTCTCACCGCCTTCCGTCCTGCTGCCGCCCGGCCAGGTGGGGCGAGGAGAAGCCATGTTCCTGAGCCCCGGCGAGGGGCCGGCGGCGGAGGGTGGGGGGCCGGGCCCGGGCGAGGAGGCCCCCAAGAAGAAGCACCGGAGGAACCGCACGACCTTCACCACGTACCAGCTGCACCAGCTGGAGAGGGCCTTCGAGGCCTCCCACTACCCCGACGTTTACAGCCGCGAGGAGCTGGCAGCCAAGGTGCACCTGCCCGAGGTGCGCGTACAGGTGAGGGCGGCCACGGCCCGGGGAGGGGGCCAGAGCAGCAATGGGACCCTCCTGGTGTGTAGGCGTGAGATCTCGAAGCTGGGAAGGCTTCCCAGAGGAGGGGAAGTGGGACTGGGACCTTAGCGTTTGAGTAGAAAAGACTGGGATGTCTGGCTGGCTCTGCTGCTAGAGCATGTGACTCCTGACCTCAAGGTTGTGAGTTCGAGTCCCACACTGGGTGTAGAGATTACGTTAAAATAAAATAGAAAGAAAGAAGAATGGGTGATCTCTAGGCATCCAGGAGTGCGAGCTAAGCTGTGGGACAGATGGCACCGGGGGCACTTCCCGCTGGTGCAGAGCCGGTGGCCGCGGAGGCAGAGCGCGGCTGAGATAGAGCTTGTGGAGGGCGTCCACTGCCAAGCCGAGCGGCTTGGACCCGGTGTCCAGGGCCAAGAGAGGCTGCGGAGCCTGAGGGGCTCGGCGGAGTGGCGAGGAGGGCTTAGTTTCGGAAGACTTGGGGCTGATTTGGTGGGGGGCTTGGGGGACCCTTCGAGACAGGTAACGGTATGTTGGCACTGCAGCAGGTGGGAGTCAAGCCAGACAGCAGGCAGAACCCTGCAGAGCTGGGAGCCCCAAAGGACACAGCGGGGTGGGGAAGAGAGGGCTGGCTCCTCCTCTCGGGTCCTCAACTGGGAGCACCCCTCTCGCTACCTCCAGGTGTGGTTCCAGAACCGCCGGGCTAAGTGGCGCCGCCAGGAGCGTCTGGAGTCAGGCTCCGGGGCTGTGGCAGCCCCAAGGCTCCCCGAGGCCCCAGGACTGCCGTTTGCCCGCCCCCCAGCCATGCCACTGCCCCTGGAGCCCTGGCTGGGCCCCGGGCCCCCGGCCGTGCCAGGCCTCCCGCGCCTCCTGGGCCCTGGCCCAGGGCTGCAGTCACCCTTTGGGCCCCATGCCTTTGGTCCAGCCTTCACGGAGGGCTTCCCCCTGGAGGAGGCATCCTTGCGGCTGCTGGCCAAGGAGCACGCACAGGTTCTAGACAGGGCTTGGCCCCCAGCCTGAATGGGGCCCACCCAGCCCTCTCTTCTCCGCCTGTCCGTGGCCACCCATGCTGGAGCCCCCACCCCCAGCCGGCCCTGCAGGGAGACTGGCACCATCTCAGAAACGAGATGGCCTGGCCCGGGGCCTCGGCCTCCCCATCTGCCAGACTGGCGTGGGGTGCACGGTGAGGCTCTGGGACAGTGAGGCCATCGTGAAGCTGCGCTCCTGCACCCATGTCCCCTGCCCGCGCTCGTCCTTCACAGCTGAGGCCCAGCCCTTGGGCCTCCTGCTCGCAGAGAAACCCCTGCTTTCACTCTGTGCACCCACCGGGGCCCGTCGCTGCACCCCTCACACAGCTGCTTTGTGGGTGAGGAAACTGAGGCCCAGAGAGGCCAGGCTTGCCGACCAGCCTCCCCAGAACTCAGATGGACCCCAGGACAAGGAGGCCATGGAGGGCAAGGAACAGGATGTGACCAGGCCTGGGGCTGGCCTAGTGTCAGCACGACAGGGGACCTCCCTATGGGACGCGGCAGCAGGGGTCAGGACGGAGGGGAGGGGCTCAAGGGCAGAAGCTGCAGGCGACCAGCGCCCTGTCTGAGCTCAGTCCGTGAAGGGACCACAGGCTCACTGCTGGGTCCTCACGCCAGCACATACCCGCTGGGGTTGAAGCTGGTCTGCTCAGCTCAGCTCACCTGGCATCTCATACAGGAGTCCCGTGGCCGCGTGTTCTTTACGTTGTGGCAGCTGGGCCGCTCACCTGCCCAACCAGCCGCCATCCACCCACCCACCCACCATCCATCCATCTACCCACCCAACCATTCACCCGCCACGCAATGCAAAACGCTGGCGAACAGATAAAAACCCCTGCCCCGACGGAGCCCCGCTGGAGACCAGCAACACAACTGAATAAACACACGTACGCGAAGCGCCCGCTGGCTTTAAGTGCTGAGGGAAAGCAAGACAAGAGGCAATCGAGTGTGTGGCAGGACTGAAGTTTAACAGGGCAGTTGTGGGCCTCTTGGAGGTGACATCAGAGAACTGGAGGAGGTAAAAGAGCGAGCCATGGGGACACCTGGGGGAAGAGCCACCCAGGCAGAGGGAATGGCACGTCCAAACGCCCTGGGGCAGGACTGGGCCCACTGCGTGGGAAGAACCACCAGGAGGTCCCTGGGGGTGATCAGTGACAGGACGCAGGTCTGGTCAGGCTTTGTGACCATTACAACTGTTTCTACCCTGAGAGTCACGGAGCTCCCCGGGTGGGAGGGTTGGGACCTGCTCTAGACGGGCCACCAGGGAGGGCAGGTAATCTGCTTGGCGCAGTCCTCCTAAGCGGATGAGGGCTCTGGGTTTCCTGGGAGGAGGCAGAATTAGCCCCCAGCCCTGCCCACTCCGCTAGGCAAGACAGCACAGAGGGGCTTGGAGGGCCCTGGCTCAGCCCCCCAGGTGGTACCCGCATCTGCCACTCCACCCTTGCAATCACACACCCTCTCCGGCCTGGCCCTGGAGCCCCTGCCCCTAGCCAGGCAGGACAGAAGTGGGACCGCTGGGAGCTGGTTCTCACTGAGGCTGTGGGTCAGGTTCACGGGCCCAATGCAAGACTCTCGATGCATTTCCTGGTGGGGTGGGCGTGGGAGAGGTTGAGCCCCGGGGCACGAGTTGGGTGACAGGAGGACGGTGGGTAGACCTAGGTCCCGGGGCTCAAATGGCCAATGCAGAGAACACGTGACCTTAGTAGGAAGGAGAAGGAAGTCCCATCCCTCTGGCTGGGCTTGCTAAACCAGGTAGGGGGTGTCAGCCAGGAGTCCTGGAGCTACCCCCGTCCAGGAACTACCCACTGGGGCGACAAGGACCCAGAGCCAGAGGGAGCGGGCCATCTGGATACCGGAACCCTCCGAGCCCAGCACACCTGAAGGGAGAGCCCGCCCCAGACGCTTCAGTGTCTCTCCCACGGTTGCAGAGTTGGGGTTGAGTCCCCTACAACTGAGAGGCGTGTCTAGAAAAGCCTCCCCCTGGAGCCGTGGGCCTGAGGCACCCCCTCACCCCTCAGCCCCTGGGCCTGCCACCCTGCCCACCCGCCCTAGACAGCACCCAGCAGCATCCAGGGCCTGCCAGGGATGCCCCCCAGGGCCCTGATCCAGCCTTGCCGTGGGGACCAAATGCGCACCAGCTCAGGGGTCTCCTCTGTCCTCAGAAAAGCCCGTTTTCTCCAGAAAGATAAAGTCTCCCGTGGAGGCCAGGTGGAGAAGCCGAGGCGTGCCGCAGGGTCCTCCTCCGGGGCCTGGCGAGGTCCCAGCACTCTGGGCGGCCGGCTGCTGGCCCGCTAGAACTTCCGGTTCTTGCTCAGGCGGTTGTGACGCCAGATGTTGTGTTTCCGCAGCAGCCGCCAGTACTCCCGAGTCTCGGGGTCCAGCTCCTCCAGCTTCTTGGGGGGGGCCCACGCTCATCTGGAACAGCCTGCCGTGGCATGAGCAGTTATGAGGCAAGGTACACCCCCAGAGGGACCCCACCCGGGGCGCTGTGGGCAGAGGTGGCAGCAGCCTGGGCCCCGCAGCCCACCCACATGGTGACGGTGGTGACCTCCCGGGGCACGACCTCCCCACCCCGAGCTGGGATCCTGGCTGGGGAAAAGCTGCCCCATCCCAGTGGCGCTGGTATCTGAGGTGGGGACGCCCCGAGTCTTCTGCCTCCTGGTCACTGTCTGTACTTCCGCAGTACAGACCCCACCCATTCACTCAACATTTCTGAACTTCCCTAAGCTTTAAGGATCAGCACAGTCAATGGCTTGTATGTCCTGCTACTGGTCCTGGGACCAAGAGCAAAGTCTTCCCTGCATCCCCCATGGCCCTGTGAGGGCCGAGATCCATCACCTCCCCGCCTCATCTCCCTCTATGCTCCGCCTTCACTTCCTGCTGTTCTAACAAACCAGGTGCAGTCCTGCCCCAGGGCCTTTGCACTGACTATTCCCTCCACCTTTAAAGCTCCTTCCACCCACTGGGGTCTTGAGTCCTGACTCCCTCCTCCAGGGAGGCCCCACAGAAACCTCTGATTTGATCAGCCAGACCCTCTTCACCCCCTCACCCGCTCTCTGGGCTCTCCAGCCTGGCTCACTCACCACTCAGGGTACTCTGCGTCTGGCTTCAGGACCACGTCCTGGCCCTCCTTGTAGATGTTGACACCCATGGCATGGGTGGTGAGTCGGACCGGGTCTGTGCACACGTCTGGGTCCTTCAGGGCCTCACTGGCCACACCACCTTTGCCGCCTTTGCCCCCCTTCATGACTGCGGGGTGGGAGAGTCATTTCTGCCACCTGCGGCCACGGGAGGCGGGCCTTCCCTTCTGCCCCTCTTACCGCTGGTGCCCCCCACCCCGACTAGACCGTCTGCTGCACCCAAGACGATTTTAAGTGGGACATGGCCTGCATCGAACACTGATGCTTGGAGGGACCGATCACTGCTCTCCAGCTCTGTTCATCTCACAGAGAAGGGATGGCACGCGTCCTGAAGGCCCAACCCCTCGTCAGCTCCCTCCTCCCAACACAGAGCAGGCCAGGCCATACCCGGGAGGTTTTGCCTTTGTTTCAAGCGCCTAATGCTCGGATGGGCCCTAGTCATCCTCAACTTCCGGTGGCGATTTGCTCAAGATCACACAGAGCCGTTAACGCCACAAACAGGACTGGGACCCAAGATCATGACAACCCCACCCCCCAGCAAGAAAAACACCCCGCACTTGCGCAGTTGAGTGCAATCCCCCCTCCCAGGGATCTCACACTGCGCCTGCGCACAGCGCTCAGCGCCTGCCTCTTTGCATTTGCGCAATGATTCTAGAAAGCCCCTCCCAATCCAGCGCCTGCGCACTATTTCCCCAGTGTCCCAAACTTCTCTCTTCTGAGTCCCTCTCAACCCAGCTCACCCGGTCTCTTGGCATAGCCCCGTATGAGGAGTCTTCCAGGCTCGGCAGGGACCGGGAGCTCCCGGGTCCGCCAGCCGGTCCAGGTCCACGTAGCCCCAAAGAGGCGTCTGGCCGCCATGACGTATGCTGACTGCCGGCACGTGCACTTTTCCGGGAGACGACAGCGGCCAAGGAGTGCTTGGGAGTTGTAGGCTCCTACAGATTTCTGGGAAATGTAGTATTCCAGTCTTGGGCGTCCACGGTGCCTTCTTTAATCTTTTATAGATACACTGTTACTGTTAAGAGGGAACTTTCAAAAATATTTCATTGACTTATTGTCCTTCAGTTATCACTTTAAGGTCACGCTTTATACATTCCCGATTCTATTTAATGGGCCATTACTGAAAGCCTAAAAGTAGCTAATACCTAAGACTCATTATATTCCAGACCTTTTGCCAAATCCGTTCCCAGCGCGATCTCCTTTAGTCCTCACAAGTAGGAGGTAGGTACTAATATTAGCTCCAGCTTCAGGGATGGAGACTTATGTCAGGACGTGCCCTCCGCCTCCCAACTGGGAGCAAAACCGGAAGTCCGTCTACAATAGGGTCCCTTCGCTGCTTCCGGTGTCCCTGGGGTCGAAAGAGACCGCCTCTCACTTTGATACTTCCCGGTCCCATTTCTTCCCATCTGCCATCCATTGGAATAATGCCCACAGCCGTACATGGCAGGCAGTGATCACTAACCCCAATTTGTAATTGAAGAAACCGGTCCAGAGGCCAGCCCGACTTCCGCTCTGCGTAAAGAGGCCCGGGATTCGAACCCTTGGTTCCGGCACCAAGGGCTCCCCCGGGGCGAGGCTGGCTGGGCGAACTACATTTCCCAGCAGGCTCCGCACACGCGCGCAAGCCCAGTGGGTGCGAGCGCTCCCCGGACAGACCCGGCGGCGCCGCGACCGGGAATCCGGGAGCGGCGGCCGCTGGAGGACTGTCAGGCCGGGGACAATCTGGGGGGCCTCGAGGTCCGAGGCCACCTGGTTTAGGAAGTGAGTGCCTCGGTGGGCAGAGCGGGGTCTGGAGGCGGCGGCTGGGGAAGAGGGTCTGAAATCTTGAGGCTGGGGTCCGCGAGGGGACCGGGGGCTTCCCTCGTAGCTTTAGGTGGAGTTACGTTTTCAGGCTGGATTCTGAGGTCCGGGTCAGAGTCCGGGGTTGGTCTTGAGCGTGGCCTTGGAGGTTTTGAGACTAGGCTCTGCTTTCTGGCGTCTTGGATCTCTAATATTGAGTCTGGGGTCCTGGATCTAGTCTTAGGCTGAGGTCCTGAGTGTGAGGTGTCAGGGACCTGCACCCAACGGGTCTGTGTAGTCAGGCAGTCTTCAGCCTGGGTTACAGGTCGCGGTAGGGGAGACTTGGAAGAACCAAGTCTGGGGGAACAGGGTCCACGGGTGGGGAGAGGTCTGGGCTGACAGGTCCAGGGGCGTACTCCCAGGTTCCGAGCCTATGAAGCCACTCTATTTCCACTGCCTATTTGGCATCTCGATTTCCTCAGCTGTGAATTGGAGACCATAGCGGACCCGTACTTGCAGGGTGTGGTGGGGGCTAGATTCTGTGTTCTACACAAACAGCACCCACCTGGAGCTTGACACCATGCTGGCACTAGAGAAGTCTTATCGTTGAATCTCTCTTGCAGATGCTGGCCTGAGCCTGGGGTCCAGGCATGGAATTCCTGACAGTTTCCCAGTCTCCCGTGGGCCCTCCAGCTATGGACTTGGAGGAGCCCAGGGACACACTTTCACCCTCTCAGGACTTCCCCCCCAGCTGCCAGTGGGACCCGGTGCCGAGAGGCTCCGGCAGCCTGGGACAGATGGAACTCGATGGGCCAAGTATTGAGGACCTGGTACCCCAGTTTGAGGCTCTGCCTGGTGATCTGGTGGGCTTGTCCCCGGATGGACCTCCCTGCCCTTTGCACGTGGCCACGGGCCACGGCCTGGCCTCTGGGGACATTGCTGATGGCCATGGGCTCTTGTCTGCCGAGGCCGGCCGGGACGACCTCCTGAGCCTTTTGCACTGCCAGGAATGCCCTCCTTCCCAGTCTTGTCCCAAGGAGCCTCCGGACCCTGCCCCTCGCCCGCTACAGCCCCCTGAGGACCCAGACGGAGATACGAGCGCCCCGGAATGGGCGGAGGGAGCTTCTGCCGAGGAGGGTGGCAGCAGGAGCTCCACCAGCTCCCCGGAACCCTGGCTGGAGACGGTTCCTCTGGTTGCTCCCGAAGAACCACGTGCCAGTACCCAGGTAGAGCCTGTCCTGCCCCCCAGGCCACCTCTGCTGCCAGGAACCAAGCCAGGGCACTCAGTCCTGCCCCTCTTCTATCTTCTTCCAGAGCCCCAAGACCCCGGTGCCATACCCTGCCCTCCAGGAGGGTGAGTGTCCTGCCCACCCTGGCCCCAGAGATTTAGCAATTTCAGAATCACCCCAATCAGGCTCCTCCCAAAAACGGCACAAAGCTTGCCAGTAAGGAGTTGCTTCTAGAGAGTCTCCGAGGTTGGTTGAGTAGATTCCAGATGGTCTGGGAGAGAGTGTTGAGAATGTTCTAGAATGGATGGGGGCAGGAGGGTCAGGCATGGCATTCATAGCGCATTTATAGGGTTTTAGAGCAGGGGCTGGCAATTTACCGTCTATGGGTCAGATCCAACCCACCCGTTTGGGCTTGTCTCAAGAGCTAACAGGGGCTTTTATGTCTTTAATTGGTTGGAGAAAAACAGAGCAGCATTTCTCGATGTGTGAAAACGATGTGCAACTCCCATTTCCGTGTCCACAAATAAAGCTTTATTGAGACACAGTCATGCCCATTCATTTACATATTGTCTACGATGGTTTTCCTGTTACAATGGGCAGGTTGAGTAGTTGCAGTGCAGACCGACTGGCCCACAGAGACAGACTGTCTGCAGTTTGACCCCCTGCATAGAAAGCTTGTCAATCCTGGGATGCCTGGATGGCTCAGTCGCTGAAGCGTCCCACTCAAGTTCAGCTCAGGCCTTGATCTCCAGGCTGTGAGCTCAAGCCCCCCGTTGGGCTCCTGGCTAGGTGTGGAGGCTCCAGGGTGTGCTTTAAAAAAAAAAAAAAAGAAAGAAAAAATTTGTCAATCTCTGCCCTGAAAACGTGGAAAGAACCAGTTCTGGGCACCTAGAATGTTCTAGGATTTCCCCCCAGACTGGGGCTGCAAGTCAAAGAGCAAGTTTTATGGTTGTTGGAAGGTAAAGCTCATTTGGACTTAGAGTTCCAAGAAGGTGCTGGAATCATGGGTGGAGCAATGACTTACCTTGGGAGTTCCAGAACTTGGCATTTTGCCCTGTGGTTCTAGATTTAAAAGAACCTGGGCTTGATTGTGTTCTAGAATGGTGAACAGAGCTGTCTAGACTGGGGAGTTTTGTAATCATGGAGTGAATAGAGCTTATCTGCTTACAGTTCTAGACCAGGGGGTGTTCTAGGCCTGTGGACAGGGCTGTCTGGTTCCAGAGTAATCAGAAAGTTCTAGAGTTGTGCTATAATAGAATCATAACGTGAGTGATGTGTGACTTTTTAAAAAAAATAGTATTTAGTGTGAGAGGGAGTGTGTGCATGTTAGCCAGGAGAGGGGCAGAGGCAGAGGGAAAGGAAAGTCCCAGCCAGGGGTGCCTGGGTGGCTCAGTCAGTTAAGCATCTGGCCTTGGCTCAGATCATGATCTCAGGGTCCCGGGATCGAGCCCCCCGTTGGGCTCCCCACCACTCCCTTCCCCTCTGCTGCTCCCTCTGCTTGTGCTCACTCTTTCTCTCTCTCAAATAAACAAATGAAACATTAAAAAAGAAAACCCTGAGCAGACTCCTCACTCAGTGCAGGACCCGATACAGGGCTCGACCCTATGACCCTGAGATCAGGACCTGAGCCAGAATCAAGAGTCAGATGTTCAACCGGCTGAGCCAGCCAGGCGCCCCTGTGTGTGACTTTGAATTTCCTGGTTATCTGCTTTAACAAAAATAAACACGGGGCACCTGACTGGCTTGGTCAGAGAACGTGCGACTCTTGATCTCACAGTCATGATTTCGAGCCCTGTGTTGGGTGTAGAGATTGCTTAAATAAAAAGCAAAAACTTAAAAAAAAAACAACACACCAGAAAAGGTAATAACATTTTAAATAACTCAGGCGAGCTAAGGTGTCATTTCCTTGTATAATCAACATCTTAACAATTATTTTACCTTTTTTTCATACTAAATTTCCAAAATTCAGTTTGCATTTCTGAGTTGCATAATCCCTACACGTGTGTGGCTGCTAGCATATTAGGTGGTGTGGTTCTAGAAACCCTGAGTGGACCTGTTTGTTTTTCCAGAATGCTTAGATCCCAAAAGATAGTGGGCAGAAGGGGCTTTAGATAAAACTCACTTCGGGTCATCCAGAGCTGGGGCCTTCACCCAGTTCTAAACCAGAAAAGCAACCGCTCCTTGTTAGGACATTCTAGAACTGGCTGGTTCTGGATTGCTCAGGAATCACAGAGCCTTGACTGCAGAGTTCCTGTGCGGTGCTGGGCTAGGTTGGTGGAATTCTAGAACTACGTGCAGAGTTGCTCTTTTCTGGACTACTCAGATCATTCTTAGGCTCGCTGGGGACAGCTGAGGTGTTTCGACCGTTTGAGGGTGTTCTAGAACCATAGGAAGAGCTAGCCAATGCCATCACGATTAGGAAGTTACAGAGTCATGGAGTGGGAAAATGTGGTTCTGGAGGGGTGCTGATTTCTAGACCCTGCAGAATTCTGTGGGGTGGGACCTGTGGGAAAGCTCTGGAACCACGAGGAGCCATTTGGGGTTCTGGATAGTGTGAGAATTTTAGACATGGGGGAAGTTGTCTCTTCCTGCTCTGATTGGGGAGTTCTAGAACCGTGGAGTTGCCTGCAGTCCTGGGCTGAGAAGGGAGAGTTCTTGAACCGTGGGCAAAGCTGACTGGCTCCAGATTGATTCGGGGGACTCCTGAACCGTGGAGAGCAGTTGTCTGTGGTTTTATAAGATTGCTGGTTTTAGAAATGGGATTGCCTGGTTCTAGCCGGATAACAGAATTCTAGAAAGCCAGGGTGGAGGTGCCTGAGTGCTGGAGTACTTCGGGGATCTGGCCTCAGTTCTAGACTCCGGGAGGGCTCCTGAAACTGCCCCATGGACAGAGTCCGAGCTGGCTGTAGACGGACAAGAGGTCTCTAGATGTCTGGCTCCTGCCGATGGGATGGTTCTGGAACGGTGGGCGGATGCGTGTGGTTCAGGGGGGCTAAACCACGGGGTAGAACTCTGCTTCCAGACTTGTGAGGG